GTTGATATGTAATTACTTATATAAATTAAACAATAAAGATACGAGCAAGGCCTCACCTTAATACCAAAAAAAAAAAAAAAACTGAACTTTGGGAAGTTTACTCTAAAGTAATCTATTTATAAAAGTAAATATTAGAGAATAAATTTTTTTTAATATTAATTAAGTTATTTATTTTTATTTTTTGTATGAATTAAATATATTTGGCAAGCAAAGCAAAAAAGTTTAATATTTTTATTGCAATAAAATCATTACATACAAAAAATTAATTATATACATCTATTTTAGCAAATATATTAAGGAATACTATTAATTATTATTATTAGTTTCAGAATTATATAATGATTTAAGTTGTTGACAAAGTTTAATTTCTCTTTCAAGTTCATCATTCAAATTCTATTGAGCTGTTAATTTTTTATAATCAATATTTAACTGTTGTTCTTGTTCATTTATTATAAAAGATTCATTAGAACTAGATTCTTTGTTATAGTGAGCTTTTTTTTAGGTTTGTTGTAATTGGTAATTGTTTTGTATTTTGTTTTTCTAAAAAATAAAATTAAATTAATTCTAGATAGATATATTAATATTATATAAAAATATACTTACACTTTCTTTTAGCTGAATTTATTGTACATTGCAATGAAGATTTATTATGATGTGAATTATGTATATTAGTTTTTTCATAAGTTATTGCTGTACTCCATTGATGAGAATCAAAATTTGAAGATCTAAAAATAAAATTTTTATATATTTATCTATTTTAATAAAATAATAAAGCACTGTATATTAAAGAATAATGCCTTTGGATAGCAGCTACTAATGAAAGTTTACGACCAGTTGTATTAATTGTTGTATGCACAGATTCACCAGCATTGGTTGTAAATAGTGAATTAATCCAAATATTATATGCCATTTAGGTAAAAGCAGGTGACAATGCGGCCAAAACCCAATTTTGTTTTTTATCTAAAATCCAATTTAAAAAAAATATATTAGTAAATTAAAAATAACAACAACAACAATAATAATAATAATAATAATAATAATAATAATAATAATAATAATAATAATAATAATAATCTTGACAATTTTAATTTTACAATTTTCAAGACTATTTAAGGTTTCTATTACTTCATTTTGAGATTTTGCTTTTATAATCGAATACATTTTTTTGATTTTTATTGGAATACTAGCTTTATTTCTAATATTTCTATAAATTATTTTTAATAAAAAATATATAATTTTAAAACAATAATTTAGTTTAAAATTTTACTTTTTGAAATGTACATTACAAATTTTATAAATATATTCCAAATGTTCAGTCAGACTATATATAGGATATTTTTGGTTTAAATATTAACCAAGCCCTATAAATTTAAATTTTAGAATAATAATATTTTATAAAAAACTATTAATTATAGCTAATTATTATAAACTAACCCAAAGCTTGGCCACGGTGTTCATCTGCAAAAATATATCCAATACCTTGATTATGAATATAATAAAACTTTATTAGTTTTTTAGTATCTTGCTTAATACATAAAAATAACTCTTAAATAATTGTTAATATGCATTAGCAGTTTGTAAAATAGTAAATACCCAGGCAAAAGTAAGAGCTAAAAAGATAATTAAAAATAATATTAATTTTAATTAAATTAAATAATTATAATAAAATAAAATTATACTTTTTTGATAAGTTTCACTATATGCGCATATTTCCTATTCATTAATAGGACCATGAACTCATTTAAATGACATATCTATTTCAATATATTTAGACTTTTTTAAACCTTCAATTTGTTGTTTATATATACATAATACAAGATATTGATCATTATTAAGTAATCCTTAAATAAATTATTATTAATAAAATTATGATTTAAAATAAAAAATTAAATATTTTTAAATTTACTTACTAATAGTTTTTATATAGGGATTTTCATCAATAGATTGTTTCATTAATAAATATGCAATACTATAAATATTTTTTCTATAAGAATATTCAGCATGTTTTCTAGATGCTATTAATGCATCAAGTTTTGAAAGATCATTTAAAGATGGATTTAATTGAGGTAATAGAACTTCTTTTAAATATGAAATTAATGTAGAGCCTAATAAATAATAAAATATTAATTAATTAATTAATAATTTAAAAATAAATATTAAATTAAAAATACTTACGATTCAAAATATTAACAACATCAACTCTTTTCGTTGATCACCTGAACCAAATTTTATACTAACAAAAAACTAAAAAAAAATCTGTTGGAGAGTTGAGTAGACTATAATAGTGGTTTGAGGTTTAAATATAGATTAACTTTGCTTTGGGGGACTCCTTGCCTCATTCAGCATGCAAGCCAGAAGCCTTGTTAAGAGGAAAATGCAGGTGGTACTCTTGGCTAGTAAAAATTTTGGTGGACAACAAAAGCTCCATCGACGAAGCTACATAGACTACAGCTCTGAGAGAACTTTAGTAGTGGTTTTTAGAAAAGTTCAACTAAGTTACTATGGGGACTCCTCTCTATATTCGGCATACAAGCCAGAAGCAAACATACAAAGGAGGAAAAGGCAGGTGGCACTCTCTCTGTGTGTAAATTTTGGTAGACCAAGAGAAAGTGTCTGTCGATAAAACTACAAAGTTCATTCTTGGAGTCCAGAGATACAACAGATTCTTTACTTTTTTTTTCAACATACTCTCTCAAAATTTGGCTTTCCTGCATCTATCTCCTACTCGTTATCATTTTTTTACAAATTTTTTCAAAAAACTGGGGATTTGGCTACCCCCTCCAAACAATCGACATTGTTTACCACTTCTATTTTTAGAAGTTGTCATTGCGATGTAGTGCTTTAGAGAAACAACAAACACATGCGAACATGTGGCTATTTCTATTACTGGATTTAATATGTGAAAGAGTTTTCAGTTTTTTTTTAGTGTACTTTTATTAGTATCATGTGAGATATATGTTATCTCAAAGTCACATATATAATATTTTTTTAATCTGGCACAGGTTATAATAGTGCTTTTGCCATTTTTGTTTCTTCTTTTTTTATCCTGTTTTTTTTTTTTCTTTCATTATAGGATTTTTATATAGTTTTTTTTGTGGTATTTGCTTTGGTATTCCCCTTTTTGGTTTTAAACTTCTTTTTTTTTCTTTGATCTTGAAGTTTTTTCGTTAAGTAGTTATAAGTTTTTCTTTCTACTTGGGAAGTTAGAAGAAGAAGATTTAGAGTTTAAAAAGAGGAGGCAATCTTGATGGCTGTAAATACAGCTTAGTGATATATTAGATTTCTTCATTTGCAGGAGGCTTTAGTATTGAGAGAAAATTTTTACTATAGCAGATCACATATAGGTAATTTGGACTTTTGTCGTATAAGACTTTTGTAGCAAAGAGCTGGGTGAGTCAATACTTGTAAATTAGGAGTAACATGTTAGCCCAGTGTTAAAGTTAGCTCACACATGAAATAGATATGAAATAGATAGGTGAGATTTATACCTAATAAAGTATTGGCAAGATTGCCAAATGATTAAAAAAAAATATTTACGATTTAAAAGCTTATATGCAGTAAGATCTAATATATCCTCATTATAAATTATATTTTTTAAATTATTTAAAATTGATTTAAACATTTTTACTGGTAGTGGTGCTAGATAATTATGAATTCCTTTAGATAATATAATAGTAAAAGGATATTCTTTAAGGTTTTTAGATATATAATGCCAGAATTGAACAGGACATTTTAAGTTAGGTTTTTGAATAATTCAATAAGTAGTTTTATTATCTGTTGTTATATGTAAATATACTATAAATTATAAATTAATATTAATTAATATTTATATATATATATTAAAATAATATTATATATTTAATTATTTGACTTACAGTATTTTTTTTGTTGAGTACTAAAAGAAAGTATAGTATAACAATATTGAATAGTATTAGATTAAAAAATAAATATTTATTAATATATTATATAATTTTATAATTTTATAAATATAAAATAATATTAATTTATCAAACCTTATTATTAACTCCATTTTCATAATATGAATAATCTTGAAATAATTGATTTAAATAATCAATATTTGTTCTTTGTAATAATGATATATATCTATGTTCTTTTTCACCATGTTTATAATTTTGACACTCAATAAAATAATGTGGTGGTGAAGTATCTTCCTCATGCTATATAAAAATAATTTAATAATATAATTATAATATAATTAAATAATATAATTAAATACCTGATAAAATTTTGCCAAAATTGGCTTTCTATTGCATCGTATTTGTGCTAATTACATGAAACTTTATGTCCAGCAACAAATTTACTATAAATAAATAATAATTATATAATTATATAATTTATAAATTATATATATAATTTATATTTTATTAAAAAAACTTACTTCAAAGTAGCAGTATCAACAGATAGTTCATTAGCTTCAAATATTTTTTTGAATAATTCATCATCAAAATTAACTACTGTATGTGAAGTATTTTTAAGCTCAGGTAAAATAATTGATTGAATTTAACTCCATGATATGATCAAGTTTCTTTATAAACTTTGGTATTTAAAAAAAAGCAATGAACATTATCACGAGTTGTACCATCCTTGTAAGAGTATTGAATATTTTTAAGACAAATATTTTATATGCTTTTTCTGAATCCATGTTAGCTATTTCTGGATTTTCCTCAAATTCTAATCGATATTTTACTTGTCCAGTAGTTTCTTTACTACCACAGCTTCCTAATTGAATAATTTCTGAAAATAACTATATTTATAAAATAAGATATATTAATTTATTTATTTATTTGCTAATATATTAGAATTTTTTTATTTACATCATCTATATTATCTGATTTATTAATGGTAGAAGAACTAGTGCTAGAATTTGAAAAATGACTAGAATTTGGCAAGTTATCAAAATTTCATTTTTTAAAATGTTAATACATTTTAATTAATAATATTGATATAGCATTTAACAAAAACTAAATTTAATATTATTTTATAACTCACTGTTAATAAATTAGATTCTTGCAACTCATCCAATATATCAGTATTCCAACCATTGTCAGACTCATTAATAGTTTGTAACACTATTTAAAATAGTTTGATCGTCAATATATATACCAAATAATTATATTAACAAGTATCAATATGTATTGTTATTAATATATCTAAAAAAAATTTTAATATACCTTGATTATTAGATTCTTACAACTCATCTGTTATCCAACCATCTGACTCATGTAGTACTATATATTTAAAAAAAATTGATACCAAAAATATTACTATTGCTACTACATTATAATTAATAAATATATATCTAAAAACATATGCATATACCTTGATTATTAGGCTTCTGCAACTCCTCTGTGCCAGTATTCCAAATATTATCGGCCAAATTGAAATCATCTTGAGATCCTGTTTCTTCGTTTGTCAAATTAGAATCAGTTTTATCATCAATTATATTCACTGGTGTGGTGCTATTTTAAAATAAAAACATTAATTTAACTATCAATTATACATATTGTATAATTTTATATATTGCTATTTAATTAAAAACCATAACATACTTTCAACAGTATTGCTTTATAATATATCTATAAAAATTGATTGTCAATGTTTTACCAAAAAGAATTATTTTTATTAAAAATGATACAAAGTATTCAAGAAAATGTATAAACATACCTTTGACAGTAAAGATGTCAATAATTTTATCATCATAATCTGGTATTATTATGGCATTTGTAAAATGATTCATTTTCGCTTTTAGGAAAAGCAAAAGAGAATTAATCAATTTGATATCATTCGTAATATAGTATATATCGTATGATACAATAATGATTTTCCGAATAATACGTATATGTAATTTATAAATGATATACATAATTATATGTAATAATGATTTTCAAGTGATATACATAAGTTAATTTTTGCTTACGTATTGTATGATATTTCTGGGGTATGCATACAGTACCATACACCCCTTGTCTGCCTATGTTCTACTATATAATAAGGGGTGTATGGTACTGTATAAACAATAAAAAAAAAAGTACAGTACAACTTTTTCTAACATACAGTACGAAATATATGTATACTCAATTTTCTGCTCGACATTAGGTCCTGCTACCCCTCCCACCGCACTCTAAAAAAAAAAAAAAAAAAAAAGTAAAGTAACAATGCTCGAAAAGTCTGCTCACGTGACCTCCTGCGGCTTGTTCGGCAACCCTACCTGTAATGAACTACGTTATTAGACATTGTTTAAATGAGAACTTGAAAGGACGTGACTTTAGATATAAGAATAGTGGTCATGACTGTTATGTGCGAGGAAGGAGCACATGACTAGCAATAATAATGACAAAAATCACTTATTTCTCAAAAAATAATAAAGGTTCAAATTTTGTTACGCATAAAGTTTCGAGGTTTTGAACTTTTTCATTTTTAGTGCTGTAACAAAAATTTTTGCTAGGCAATTTTATTATATAAAACTCCTTCTTTCTAACCCCTAACTCCAACTCTTACCCTAACATTACTGAACTTTAAAGGATTTTCGCTGCGCCACAAACCTAACACATATTTCAGATATGCTATAGTAAATGTAATAAATTTAAAAGAAGTTAGAAAATTGACATTAACATGAGATAATAAGTAAAATCGCATTATATTTGTAAATAAGATAACTACGTTAAAGTTTTTTTTGGATATTTTCATTAATTGATTATTCTTAATTGAATGAAATAACACATTGTATTTTTATCGCCTGAAAATTTTGAATTTTAGATATTCATTCCAAAGGATTCAATCACTGAAGAATTGATTCTGAGATAACGCGAATGTTACTTTATTAAATACGTAATTTTCTTTTCTTAGCAACGAATATCATAATAGGAATGGGGAAATAATATTTAGTGTTGTCAAATATGCGCTGGATTTAATCTGGAAAATTTGTGACACTCATTTGATACGTGTATAGCGAAAATCATGAAGGAATTCTTTGTAATTAATTTATGAGATAACAAAAAGTTGCTTGGATATTGAAATTATTCCAATGAACATACTTAGTATTCTAATAAAAAATTTATTTATTAAAAAATTTAAAAAAACTACCCTCTAAAATTAGCGTCCAATATGAAAATATCGGAGCTGCATTTTGCCTCAAATCGACACGGAATATATGTTAATTATCATTATCTTATATGATTTTTAGTGACGTAATAACATAGTAATATTTTGATCAGTAATCATTATTATATTATTTAATCGGGCAGCCTGTATAGAATTATACCTGTCATGATGATAATCTCCGCTTAATTGATTATGGCCAGTCAGGACGACAGTCATATTTGGACTTTGAAGTAAATGATTGCCTGCAAGCACGGTAGTCATGAAGAATTTGTCTGGTATTGTACATAATACTTTTCTAGGTTCAGTTTATTTACGAGGACTGAGGGGTTTTCCAGATTGTTGCTGTCCACTAATATCCAGTGATCCAAGATACGTATTATTAATACCCTGACCTCTCACATGAAATGCAATTAGAGATATTCGACTTTGCCCGCTATATACGGTTATTTAGCAGTATTAAGTCTATTTTTGCCAAATAACTAGTTATTTGGCAAAAATAGACTCACACTGCCAAATAACCAAGTTATTTGTCAGTCCGATCATAGTAAAGATATCGGATAACACTGTTATTGGATGTTACACATCAATAACTTATTTATCCGACTTACAGCCAGATAATGGGGTTATTTTTCAAATAACGATATATAATTATATATTATTATAATTATTGATGTTATTAAGTATCGCATTACTACAACAAAAAAATATTATAATATTATAATACCGTAATACTTCCGAAATTAAGCACCACTCGGGGCAATTTTTAAACTGGGGTAAAATCGCCACCCAAAAAAATTTCACTGGCCAATCGAATTTCAAGATCATGTGTAACGTAGCACGA